AATTTTAATATGGCATCAACTTATTGTTATTCTAAAAAAGACATTAGCCCCTTTCACACATACAGACCTTTCCGGAAAATTACCGGCAATTTTCCGGAAAGGTTGTATGTGTGAACAGGTCCTTTTTGAAAATACCGGTAAGTTCGTTCTGGCTATTTTCCGGAAAGAGAAGTTGTAACATTACCGGCAATTTGCCGGAATGCTGCGCTGTATGAATGCAGAAGGAAGATTGCCGGAATAAGCACGTGCACGTCTAGAACGTGCTGACGTGAGACGTCTGCTTTAGCCAGTCACAACAGTCTGACGCATTTACGTCCGCGCGGTTTATGAGAATAAAAGCCTTTGAATATTTTTCCAGACACATTTAGCTGCTAGAAGTTAGTCAGATCACGTTTTTATGTTCTTCTTAATGCCAACTGTGTAAATAATCATCGATGAGATGCTTATGATAAGCCGTTGTTTGTTTACCTTCAAGCTTTGCGTGTGCCTGTGAAACAGCCTGTGAGCGCCTGCACACGCACATATTATGAACATCTCGACATGCGAAAGTGATCCTGCGAAAGTTGTTCACAATACTGATCATCCACAGAGTTTGTAATATAGTGAAATGTTTACAAATACAAGCGCAGCTGTTTAAAGCTCATTTGTGGTGAATGATGTCAGAATTTACTGGTATTTTGGAATGGATATGTGAATGCTCTTTTCCGGAAAATTTCCGTAACGTCCTCGCCTGTGTGAACAGCGTTTTTTTGAATATACCGGTAAAGTCGTTCCGGAAATTTTCCAGATATTTACCGGTATCACTGTGTGAAAGGGGCTTATAATGGATTTTGAACATTTAGTTGTACTCATATTTTGGCACTTGCTTTGGTTTGGTTAGATACCTCAATTTATTAAGTGTTCTTTGAAATATTTTATAATAGGGAATAAAAATCCTAAAACTCAACTAATATTAAAACTTAATAATAATAATAATAATAATAGTAATAATAATAATAATAATAATAATAATAAACAGTAATAGCAATTCATAAAACAAAACTACAGTACATCTTTCAAAACAAAAAGCACACAACAAAATAGCAAAACAATTGGACTTAAAAATGTATTTAAAATAATTCATTTAAAATCACATTCAAATCTACAGTATAAATAATAATAAAAAACACAAAAACACGCAAAGAATATTAGTACAATAATATCTATTATTAATTACTAAATACAGCCAAAAGGCCGACTAGTAAACTGAATAAACTTACATCCACTCCTGTAAGTTTGTCTTTCATTTGTTGAGCCCTTCTTTCAAAGTCCAGTGCAACCGTGTCCTGAAACGGTCCTTTTGATGGCATGGGCCCAATCACATAATCATCTTCTTCTTCTTCACTGCTTGACAAGTCTGGTTTAAAACCTGGTGGTAGAGCTGGTCCTGAAAATCCTTCAGCTTCATCTTTTTCTTCCTCTTCATTATCATCCAGTCTTTTAAACCCTGGAGGTAGAGCAGGCCCTATTGCTGGTGGCCTATGACACAATCAAACAAAACACAGATGAATTCAATCATCGTTTATGTTTATCAATCTTTATTTCACTGTCAGTTAAGTCTCATTCCAGAACAATTACCGTTCAGGAGATTTATCTCGCTTTCGATATCCCGGGGGAAGAGCTGGTCCCGAAAACCCTCCCTTATCCTCTTTTGCACCAGCTTCATCTTCATCTTGGTTTTTGAATCCAGGAGGGAGTGCTGGTCCTTGTAATGATTGCCTGAAGATGCAAAATTAATTTATTCAAGACTTCTGAAAATGGCTCACAAATGAGCATGTGTGAATCATGATCATTTTTAACTCCTGTTGATTACCCGTCAGGTGACTTGTCTCGCTTCTGAAATCCTGGGGGAAGTGCTGGACCAAAGAAATCCTCCTCATCCTCATGTTTATATGTTTGCTTTATATCCATCTCATCTTTTGTGGTGCTTCTGCTGCTGTCAAATAATCACATTTATTAAAGTGGGAGAAACTTACTTTTTCTTGCAATAAAATTTAATTTACATTTTATATGTAAAAATATTAGACATGTGCTTATGGAACCTGACAAAATATGCACACAAACTCTAACAAATGCATACGGGTCTAAGGCAAACGCAGGTTTTCAAACATAAAAACTATAAATGTGTGATACAGCTTTCTGTTTACCCCTCATCCATTATAATGTTTGTTTTTTTTCAAAAGCAAAAAAACAATGATTATCATATAATATTTGGTTGTACTAATTCACAATATAGTTTACATAACAAAATAAAAAATAAACAACTTGTCAGCCATTTAAAGAACACAAACCATTTAATAGCATCATCGAATATCTCCATAAATTAAATACTTTATCTTTATACTTTGCCACTATCCTTAAAAAAACTTTTTTTCTATTTGTCAACAATATTTTTAATCTTTAAAAACACTGTAAATGTTATAAGAAAACTTTCTATTGTTTATATTTAAATAGGTAAATGTTGGGAGAAGTAGTTACATTTTTATATAAAGACAACACCTTTTAACATCTGATTAATGACGATGGGATGTTTTATTGTACCAATATTTTGCCATTTTATTTTCACAGAAGTTAGATAAATGTATGTATTATTACAGCTATCAAAATATTATTTATTAATGCGATTAATTGCATTCGAAGTAAAAGCTGGCATTTACACAAGTAAAAAATAAATTCATGTATATATATACAGTTGAAGTCAGAAATATTAGCCCTCTATTAAACATATTTTTTCTTTCTTAAATATTTCTCAAATGATGTTTAACAGAGCAAAGAAATTTTCACAGTATGTCTGATAATTTTTTTTCCTCTGTAGAAAGTCTTATTTGTTTTATTTCAGCAAGAATAAAAGTTGTTTTTAATTTTCAAACACCATTTTAAGGTCAAAATTATTAGCCGCTTTAAGCTATATTTTATTTTGATTCTCTACAATTCTCTACAATCAACTGGTATTTAGTCTACAGAAAAAAAACATCGTTATACAATAACTTGCATAATTACCTTAACCTGCTTAATTAACCTAGTTAAACCTTTAAATGTCACTTAAGCTGTATAGAAGTGTCTTGAAAAATATCTAGTCAAATATTTTTTATAATTTATTTATTTTATTGTTTAGAAAAGTGTTAAAAAATCTTCTCTCCGTTAAAAAGAAATTGAGGAAAAAATAAACGGGGGCCAATAAATCAGGGGGCTAATAACTCTGACTTCAACTGTATATATTTGAGATTTTTTATTTTATTTATATTTTAAAATTAAACATTTAAATCTTATATAACTTATACACAAGTATAAATATATATGCAAATATTTTGGTTTTGTATTTTTTTTATTTTATCTTTTTTTTCATTTATATGAACACAATATATCTGCACAGTCAGTACACACACATTATTCGAATACAAACATTTATTTTGAATGCGATTAATTGCGATTTTCCATTTAACAGCACTATTTATTATAAACTATACTAATAAAAAAATCACTTTTCTAAATTGAATTTGGTATGGACATTAGAGTGGGATGCCTCGTTTTGACCCATATCGTTGCGTATTCATGTTTGTACTAAATTTGATCCATCAGATATTTATATTGCATGATTATAGTGAGTTTATAGCGGGAAAATAATGTCACTTGTAGATAGAAATTAAGAATTAATTAAGAAATTAACAATGTTTATTACGGACAAAAATACAAGAATAACTGCAGTCACATTATATCTCCCAATAATATAAATCAGCAAGATGTTATTAACATTGCAGTTTTTTGATAAAAGCACTATATCTTTAATATGTTCACATTATTTAATAACTTAAGAACATGGAATGCAGTACAACAAGGTGTAAACGTACAGAAAATGACAAAACAATTTGTTTGGGTGTTTAAAAAGTCCATGTTTCTCTTGAAACACTGCATGATGCATGCAACTACGAACCCAGAGAAACCTATATAATATAAAAACACAAATATCATACTTTGAAGAAGACCGGTTCCTAGATGACGAATATTTGGCCCTCTTAAAGACAACCTCCTCTTCATCACTGTCTTCACATGAACTGGAGGACTCCGAAGCTTTATACAGAGGAGGCAGAGCTGGACCTATGACTGGAGGCAGAATCTATTTACATCTTAATTATACTAACACACATGACCGAATGAGCCAACTGTAATTTTAAAAAAATTGTATCGAGAACATTTAAAGACAATTATATTTGTTATGCATTTGCAAACAAAAAATAAAATCAAGTAAAGAATCTGGACTGCATGGTGGCGCTGTGGGTTGCACGTTCGCCTTAAAGCGAGAAGACTGGGTCAGTTGGCGTTTCGGTGTGGAGTTTGCATGTTCTCCCCGTGTATGCGTGGGTTTCCTCCGGGTGCTCCGGTTTCCCCCACAAGTCCAAATACATGAGGTACTGGTAAATTGGGTAAGCTAAATTGTCAGTAGTGTATGTGGGTGAATTAGTGCGTGTGGATGTTTCCCATGGATGGGTTGCAGCAGGAAGGGTATCCGCTGCGTAAAACTTGCTGGATAAGTTGGTGGTTAATTCCGCTGTGGCGAACCCAGATTAACAAAGAGACTAAACCGAAAAGAAAACGAATGAATGAAAAAAGAATCTTGCAAGTCTCGTGCCAGACCGTTAAGTCACTGAGTAATAATACATAAACATACTTGCTCCATCATCATCTGAATTCTCATCTTTTTTTAATGTCGGTGGCAGAGCTGGTCCAATTACGTTCTCGTCAGACATCGTGGAGTTATCGTATGAGAAAATAATAATAAAACATACATTTATTTACAAACCCAGAAACATGCTAGGCTACAATGAACACTTTTGTTATTTCCGGTGTCGAGTTTTCTGTGAATTTCAAAATAAGAGTCCGTTTCTGGCGGAATCCTATAGGTGGCGCGTTATAGTTAGGTTTAAGCGTTTCAGATAAAGACACTCTTCACTTCTCTTCTCTTTGTCGTCCGTTGTTGTTTCCATGGGAGGCGGGACGCTTAAAAACAACAGTCGGTACGTAAAATTTGTTAAAGTTTCGTTAATAAAACAGGGCTTTAACTTTTAGAAATGTTTTAGTATGACGTCTCACATAAATAATCACTTGCTCGTATTTAAATGTATTCTAAGTCAAGTCGAACTTCACGAATTTGTCTTCTTTTAGCCAGCTGTCATTGCTCAGCGTCTTATCCTTTAATTCTTTCCTTGGGTCGGCTGAGCTCCTATCCTAACTCTTGACAACCAAAAGCCCTCATTTCCAACTTTTATTCTTTCTTCACATAACAAGTTGACAGACGATGCCACCCAAGAAGCCAAAGGACGCCAAGGCAAACATTTCCAGCTCCATCGAGTCTGAGGACATCAGTCTTGAGACAACGGTCCCTACAGAGGACATCTCGTCCTCGGATGAGAAAGATGGCGCAGGGAAAGTCACAAAACAGCTCCTGGAAAGAAAAGAACTACTTCATAACCTTCAAAAGCTTAAAATAGAGCTGTCCCAGAAAAATCTGCTCATAGATAACCTCAAAGTGGATCACCTCACTAAGGTAATTTCACATTAACATATACTGAAAGGCAGCTGGAAGAGGTTTCAATGTTTGTTTATCTTTGAGTGTTAAAAGTATGAGTTTTCACATTCGTTTGTAGACAGAAGAGCTAGAAGAAAGGCTGAATGATGCTCTCCATCAGAAACAGGTGCTCGCTCTGCGTTTGGACAGCCAACTCAAACTACAGCAGGATGAAAACAGGTACATTTACACACACATACTGTTTTACAGAAAATGTACTAGTGTCTGTGTGTAAATCTGCATTTTTAACCTTACGTTACTGGAATTCAGCTGTTTGTATAAAACTATAAATAATCATGCCACAATTCTATCCTAGCTAATATGTTTTAATACTAATATTCATTATTTTTGTATTTATTTATTTAAAAAATATGCATATATGCTCTTTATAAGTTTTACCTTTAGTCCACTATACATATTTTAAAATACAAAAAAAAAAGTCAAAACCATGGTAATACTAAACTTGATAAGTATCAATGCTGACTGTTATGGCACATTATTAATTAAGTCATTTATTTATTTTATTTATTTATTTGACAGTTATTTCAATCTTTAGACATATTTATCAAAAAAGAGAAAAATGTTGTGTATGCTTTACAAAAAGGTTTTATGGATGATATAGTATGATACTGTCAGAAGCTCACACCCAATGAGGTGAAAAAAAACACAAAACATCTTATGGTTTCATTTTAATTGTGGGCGGCAAAGTGTAATGCAACTCAGTGCAAAGCTGTACAATATATATTTTTTTCTAATAAATCATTGTGGATAATCAAGTATTTGTCCATATCGAAATGAAAGAATAATAAGAAAAAAAAATTATTATTATTATTATTATGAATTAATTTTATATGTAAAAATATACAAATTATTACATAAATATACATAATTAAACACAGCAAAATCTATATCGCAACAGTAAGATGGAAATGTTTAGGATTAGAAGAAAGGCATTTTACTTGCTTTAAAAAAAATTGGGGGTCAACTGATGTTTGAGGGCAACCTGATGTTGAGGGTTTTCCAGCCTCAAAACATTAAACAGCACTACAGATTTTATTTCTGTTTTTTTTACAGAAAACACCAGTAAAATGAATTTCAGTGTAACAGTAGTTATATGAAAAATCATATTAGGGATTTTTTTAGAACATTAATCATTTGATGACCTGATAAATCACAGTGCAGTTCCCCAAAAACTAAATCTTTCAAATTTTGTATATTCTGGTACTACCCCACAAATCACTAGGTTTTACCAATTTGTCAGCAATGAGTTTTACATAGTTTAATTTAAATCACGTAGCTTATTCCAGAATTTCAAGACTTTGTGTTTGTGTCAGAATCAGTATAGAGTTTTTATAGAGTTGAGTGTGTGTTCTGCTTATGCAGGAAGCACCAGGCCCTGAGAAAACAGGAGATGGACACCATCATGCTCAGACAGAAGCAGCTGGAAGAGATGAACCATCAGTTGTGTGATCGGGCCGGTGATCTCCGCAGAAGCCTGAGGGATCTGGAACTGTCTGAGCAGAAATACGCTGAGCTGAAGGAACTGCCTGAGGACAAACTCACCATCCCAGAATTTGTGGCGGTGAGAAATGGAGCTGCAAATTAAGATTTCTCTTTGATGTTTGGTTGCAGACATGAAGTTAAGAATAATAGTTGTAAATTACATATGTTTTCTTCTTATAGATTAGGTTTTATGAGGTTGTAAATCCTCTGAGGGCTCTTGCGACGGAACTTCAGATGAAAAAGACTGACCTGATTGAGGATCTGGACAGTCACCGCAAACAAATTAGGTCACTAATGGAGGTCTGAAGAAACATTTCTTCCTTTCTCTACAGCTGTAAAGTATCTGTCGTTTCCATTGCCATAATCTTTTTTTAAAAACATTTTTATGTTCAAATCAGAGTTATGAAGAAGAAAGGAGAGCACGCTCTGAGTTAGAGATCCGCTGTCAAAGGCTCACCTTGGAACTTGCTGATACAAAGCAGCTGATTCAGGAAGGAGACTACAAACGAGAAAACTATGACAAAATCAAACGGTGCGGGGAATATTCTGCATTGTGTTAGCCCATATTTAGCTTTTGGCACATGCAGTGTACCAAATTAATAAAAAACGGCCGTTATTGCTTGATTGCTTCAATACTTTAGTTTCAATTTTGTAATTAAACTTATATTTCTGAAAAGTGTCTATTAATGGACAATATTTTGGAAAAAACAAATGTTGTAGTATCAATTTAGTATGGATATCATGATATTTATTTTAGTATCATATCGAAGTCAAAATTCTGGAATTGTGACAACACTAAAATACATTATAATAATGTTTTAATTTTATTAAAATAAATATAAAAAATGTTTTTAGCATTTATATTAAAAATAAGAAATATTAGAATGCATTAGAATGGCATCTTAAAGGATCAAGTTACAGTGACTGGGCCAGTGCCTACTGAAAATACTGATATCCGAATAAGAAAAAAATAAAACTAATTCTTTCTTAGTAAGCAAAAGTGTCTTGAGAATGAATCAATGAATCAATCAATCAATCAATCAATCAATCAATCAATCAATCAATCAATCAATCAATCAATCAATCAATCAATCAATCAATCAATCAGTCAATCAATCAGTCAATCAGTCAATCAATCAAATGGTAATTTACACCACAAAATGTTCTAACATAACGTCAAGCTTTGCAACAAAAACAATGACCAAACAAACTGAGATGACTTGAAAATCTTTATCTTTATGAATCGCAATTGTGATCAGTTTTAAAATTACTTAAGAAATCACAGTAGTTAAAACTGAATAATACATATTACCTGTCTTATTTTGTCCACAGAGAGAGAGATGGCTATGAAACCGAGCTCAGAGAGTTAAAAAAGAAGTTAGAAATCCTGGACCTTACACACACTGCCTTGGAAAAAGAGAGAAATGACCTTAACAAAGAGGTAATGAGTTCAGTACACACAAAAGTTTATTGACAGATCAGGTAGGTACTATTTAATCTAAAACTTACAGCGTGTAATAACATTTCCTGTTTTAATTTTCTGTTTCTGTTGTATAATTTGGAAAGTATTCGCTCTCTCCACATTTCCACAGTCTCATTTTAAATTGGATTAAATAAATTTATTTCCTCAAAATTCTACACACAATACCCCATAATGACAATAAGAAAAAAGATTTGTTTAAATTGTTGCAAATTTATAAAAAATAGAAAAAAAAAAATAAAAAATATATACATAAGTATTCACAGCCTTTGCTGTGAAGCTCTAAATTGAGCTCAGGTACATTCTATTTCCACTGATCATTCTAGAGATGTTTCAGCAGCTTAACTGGAGTTCACCTGTGGTATAAATAAGCTGAGTCTGAGAGTTTTATTTATTCGATAGTTTATTTTACATTTCTTGTTTGTAAAGGCTAAATACAAATAAAAAGTGAACATTTATTTGTACTGTTTTTTTTTTTTTTTTAAGTTATAAGAGCCTGGAGGGACTTTGCAAATTCAGTTTGCAGACATTTGTGGGTACAGACATCCATTGTGTTCGTTCTTGGCGGTTTTTTTCCTGGCTATTAAATATTGTCCATATCGATATCAGAATTATATTGTGTCGACTGAAATTAAGAAATGTATAGTGATATAAATTTTTGCCATATCGTCCACTAGCCCTATTTGTAAGTGGAAGATGTTTGAAACCACCAAGACTCTTCCTAGAGCTGACCGGCCATCTAAGCTGAGTGATCGGGGGAGAAGAGCCTTAGAGAGATGATTAATAACAGAGAGAGAAATGGTCAGAGACCAGAACCTTACAGAAGGACAACCATTTGTGCAGCAATCCAACAAACAGGCCTGTATGGTAGAGTGGCCAGTCAGAAACCACCTGGAATTTGCCAAAAGGCATCAGAAAGACTCTCAGACCATAAGAAACAAAATTCTCTAGTCTGATGAGACAAAAATTTAACTCTTTGGAGTGAATGCCAGGCAACCAGACACCACTCATCACTAGGCTAATACCATCCCTACAGTAAAGCATGGTGGTGGCAGCATCATGCTGTGAGGATGTTTTTCAGCAGCAGGAACTGGAAGACTAGTCAGGATAAAGGGAAAGATGAATGCAGCAATGTACAGAAACAACCTGAATGAAAACCTGCTTCAGAGTGCTCTTGACCTCAGACTGGGGCGACGGTTCATCTACCAGCAGGACAATGACCCAAAGCACACTGCCAAAATATCAATGGAGTTGCTTCACAACAACTCTGTGAATGTCCTTGAGTAACGCAGCTAGAGCCCAGACCTAAATCCTATTGAACATCTCTGGAGAGATCTGAAAATGGCTAAACACTTTTGCTTCCCTTCCAACCTAATAGAGCTTGAGAGGTACTGCATAGGGGAATGGGCAAATATTGCCAAAGACAGGTGTGCCAAGCTTGTGGCATCATGTTCAAAAAAGACAAAGGCAAAAAAGTATTGAGTAGTGAATACTTATGTACATGTGATTCTTCAGGTTTTTTACTTTTAATAAATTGTTTCACACTGTCATTATGGGGTATTGTGTGTAGAATTTCAAGGAAATAAATGAATCGAATCCATTTTGGAATAAGGCTGTAACAAAAAAAATGTGGAAAAGTGAAGCGCTATGAATACTTTCTGGATGCACTGTATCTAGAGGGCAAGAAACAGTTTCTACATGCATTTGAAAACCGTCAGTACATTTGTAGTCAGCACACATCTAATAACTAGTCAAATATACAATTTATGTCTGTAATTTTTTAGAAGCAAAATGCCAACCTATAGGTTTATCTGTCACATATGGTCTTGCTTTCTCTTCATTCTTGTTACTTATTTTATGTGCAGGCAGTGAACCTACAGCAGTCAGTAACATTGCTGCAGAAAGACAAAGACTTTTTAAACAGACAGAACATGGAGTTGAATGTGCGCTGTGCTCATCAAGAAGACCGTCTGGACAGACTGCAGAACCAGCTTGAGGACACAAAGAAGGCTAGAGAAGAGGCCTATGAAAAATATGTTGCTTCTAGGTATGCGCAATTTGAGGAAAAAAATACACAGATGATGGTGCTTCAGTTTTTATTTATGCACTTTAAGTTTTCTTGAATTTCATTCATATAAAATTAGAAATCTCTGAAATCCTTTTTTTAGTGTATGAATGAAGCTAAGGCACTGTGTAAGCTGAGCTGTGTCTCTTTATCTCTCCACTAGAGATCACTATAAGACAGAGTATGAAAACAAACTGCGTGATGAACTGGAACGCATTCGAATGAAGACCAGTCATGAGATTGAGAGCTTGCAGAGGACTTCAAAAGAGATGTATGAGAGGGAAAACAGGTGAGAGTAAACCTTAATTTCTCTCACTGGCAAACTGACTGATTCTTTTTTTTTTCTGCCCATGAAAAATAAAACACAAGAAAACCTTGAAAAGTCATGCCAGTCTCACAAAAAAATCTTAGCAAGTAATAGAAGTAGAAAACAAAACATATAGAAATTGGCTAGAAATTATTCTATTTTTTTTCTGTTAGATTCATAAAATAATTTAGAAAATTTCTCATCCATTTACAGAAATGAAGATAATCAGTTATGTATTTTAAGATATATAGTGTACATTTTAGTTTTCTTGCCCAGTTGCAATAAATAATTAAATACATTGGACACTAGATATAGTCAAGCTTTTTTTTTTTCAGAAGAAAAAATATTATTAGACATACTGTGAAAATTTCCTTGCTCTGTTAATATATATATATATATATATATATATATATATATATATATATATATATATATATATATATATATATATATATATATATATATATACACACACACACACACACACACATACAGAGAAGAAGTCAGAATTATTAGCCCCCCTGAATTGTAACCCCCCCACCTCCCCAATTTCTGTCTAACAGAGAAAAGATTGTTTCAACACATTTCTAAACATTATATTTTTAATAACTCACTTGTAATAATTGATTTCTTTTATCAGTAAATAATAATATTTGACTAAATATTTTTCAAGATACTTCTACTTGGCTCAAAGTGAAATTTAATAGCTTAACTAGGTTAATTAATTAGGCAAGTTATTGTATAATGATGGTTTGTTCTGTGGACTATCTAGAAAAAATATAGCTTAAATAGGATAATAATTTTGACCTTAAAATGGTTAAAAAAAATCTCAAACTGCTTTTATTGTAGCCAAAATAAAACAAATAAGACTTTCTCTAAAAGAAAAAAAATATTATCGACATACTTTGAAAATGTCCTTGCTCTGTTAAACATCATTTGGGAAATATTTAAAAAAAGACAAAAATCAAAGGGGCCTAATAATTCTGACTTCAACTGTAGATTTTTTTTTTTTTTTTTTAAGAAAAGCATTTCTAAGAAATAATTTTCAGCTTGTGTCCACCTATTTACTATTACTGCTGATTAATGTCATTTATCCTTTAATGTCATTTATCCTTGCATTTATCCTTGCATGGTGTTATATATCTATCTATATATATATATATATATATATATATATATATATATAATGTTTATTTAGAAACATTTTAAGGTCAAAATAAAATAAATAAATATATGTAATATATATATATATATATATATATATATATATATATATATATATATATATATATATATATATATATATATATATATTTATAGAGAGAGAAAGCATGGTATAAGGCATTCAGTACTGCAAACCCATTAGACAGGTTAACACTGAAGACAAGATTGTAACAAATAAAATGCAAGATTAATACAAGAATAGTTGTTCAAATGAAATTATAATATCAGATAACAATCTTTGCACGTAAACATTGCAATCTATAAAAACATTAAACACTTGCATTGTACTGTTGCTTTTGCACTTTTACAGTATTAGTTTGTTTGAAAACTGATGTCTTATGTGCACTCAGCTATGCACAAGAATTATAAATCAATACCTGAGTGTTTAGCAGCTATGTATCAAAGACTCTTGCACTCTTAACCAACCAACAAGGTTATCCCAGTGAGCCTAAGTGAAACTCCACCAGTGAAACCAAAGCTGTGTTTGAAAACATTCCCAATATTTGTCAACTTACAGGTTTATTGTCTACTTAAAGCAGTGAATGAAAACTAGTGAGAAAATCTGAACTTTGACTGCTCTGGAAGGTCAGCCGCTGAGATCTTTCATGTTTGATGCTTAATAAGCATTTGAACCTGTAAACTAGTAAATACAGCAGTAATAATAATGTAACTGTGTAAAAAGCTTAATTAAACAATTTAATAATCAAATAGGTTTATTATTGAAGGCTGTATGAGGTTACATGGCATAGCACTTTAAAAATGGATGAATCAGCTGTGGGCACCATCTTCTGGTGAGGTGCAGGAATTCACATCCTTCAAAGGACATAAAGGATATTCTGTAGCCTCTGAGTTAACATTTGTCATGTAACTCGCTATTGTGGTGTATAATTGAGTAAAGCACTATGGTTTCAGATACTACTTTCAAATACCTGTCCTCTTAAATATTGCCCTGTTTAAGGGTTCATAGCCTAAGGTATATTATACCAAAACCAGTGGTAAATAAGAAAATTTTGGGGTTTGCCTGTTTAGGTTGTATTGTATGCAATGTCTGGACAATGCCTGTAAAAAACTTATAATGCATTATGTACAGTATCATTTCAGAATATGCGTTTTTTTTACTCTTCCAGAAGTCTTCGTGAGACCAGAGATAATTCTGTTATTGAGAGAGACCGAGCGCTAAACGCGGAAAGAGAAACTCAAGCCAAATATGATCAGCTCTTAGATCAGTAAGTTCGTTCACACCTCCCACATATGCGTGACAGTCTGAACTGTTATTATTGTATGACTGCCATTTCACAAATGTACGCAAAAACTATTGAGCAAATGCATGTGCAGTAATTCTTGACAGCTCATTCATTGGAAAAATCGTAAATGTTGGTAACTGCTGAAAGTTTGTGTAATCATTCACTTTTCAGAAAGTAGTGAAATCTTTATTCGTCACTGAAGATGCAAGACCCTTCTAGGCATTTTGAAATCAGGATGGCTGTTTTGTAAAATGTCAATCAGTATTGGGGCTAGGCCATAATTTCAACTGTATTTGTTCCAATGTGATATCAGAGTAGGCTACCATTCCAAAGCTTGGACTCAGGAAGTTTTTCAATCTTTCAGCAAGGATAAATGACATTGATCAGCAGTGAGAGTAATTAGGTGGACAAAATTTTATTATTTTTTCTTATATATACTTTTCCTAAAAACAAAAACAAAAAACAAGTATTTGTATTAAAAACAAATCTTCCAGATGACCAATTGATATGTATACAGCATGTACACTAGCTGACAAAAGTCTTGTTGGAAGTTTTAGGGACAACAAATAATAACTTGAATTCTAGTTGATCATTTGGTATCAGAAGTGGTTTATATGAAAGGCTGAAGCCATTAGATTACGCTTATTTTACCAAAATAAAATATGATCATGCCTTAATTTTTAATTATTTAATTAGGACAATAATGTCTGACTTTGCTTAGACAAAAGTCTTGTAACTTAACAGAAATAATTTACACCTCTGCAGTGACTCAAATAACTTATTAATAAAGTCATCTGGAACAGCAAAAAAAGCGTTCTTGTAGGATTCCCGGAGTTAATCAAGATTCTTTGGATTCATCTTCAATGCCTCCTTCTTCATCTTACCCCACACATGCTCGATAATGTTCATGTCTGGTGACTGGGCTGGCCAATCCTGAAGCACCTTGACCTTCTTTGCTTTCAGGAACTTTGATGTGGAGGCTGAAGTATGAGAAGGAGCGCTATCCTGCAAAAAAAAAAAAAATCCCTCTCTTGTGGTTTGTAATGTAATGGACAGCACAAACGTCTTAATACCTCAGGCTGTTGATGTTGCCATCCACTCTGCAGATCTCTTGCACTCCCCCTTACTGAATGTAACCCCAAACCATGATTTTTCCTTCACTTGACTGATTTCTGTGAGAATCTTGGGTTAATGCGGGTTCCAATAGGTCTTCTGCAGTATTTGTGATGATTGGAATGCAGTTCAACAGATGATTCATCGGAAAAATCTACCTTTTGCCACTTTTCCAAATAATCAACTAGAAGTCGAGTTATTATTTATTGGTCTTACAATTAGAATCGACGACAAAACTTTTGTCAGGTATTTCTGAAGGATTGTTTGACACCTAAGACTGGTGTAATTGTTTTCGGCTTTACAGGTACAGTCACAGAAGTAAATTACTATTTGATTTGTGTTTCTGCAGAAAACGGACTTTAAATAATATAAAACACATCACTGAGTCGCTTTTTTTTTTTTTTTTTGCATTTTTGATTTTGATCAAATAAATGCAACATCAGTGAGACATTATCTTTTTAAAAAGCCTTGCAATTCTTTTTTTAAAACCGGTAGAGCTATATCGCTTAAATGTCTTGTTCTTGAGATGTGACATTTAGCCTGTTAAAGCATTTGCATGCATTTTAAATCTGTGAAAATAACCTTTTAGTTTTTTTTTTTTTTTGTTGTGTTTTGTTTGTTTTTAGCTTTAAGTCAAACATTTCAAGCTTGACTGGATTCCTCCAAGGCCAATTCAAATCATCTTTGAGTGAACCAATGACAGACACAACCATATATTGTCACTGTAGGTAAAAATGGGCGTAGTATTACTTATCTGTTAGTGTGATGTACATGTACAATAAGAACTTGACTTCAAAAGTTGCAGGGAGACATATTTTAACATCTGCTACTGCCTCCCAAAAAAGGAAAGTGTTCATCTGAGAACATTAGCACTTGTATAACTATGAAATGCCTGTCAATGACAAGTAAACAATCAAAGCCAAGATTTTAAACTATGCTGATTGTTGTTCTCCTGGTTGTGATAGCTGTAATTATTTTTTAGAGCCTGTTTTCTTGAGGAATTCAGCGTACAGTATACGTTCCCACGGTTTGAGAGTCAGCATGACAGAGGTGCTAAGCATGCCATTGTTAAACTTTCAATTGTGATGAAATGCAGTTGGAGCCTTATGTGTACATTGTGACAATCAGGCAGGGTTTGCACTTAAAGGAGAGCAGTATCGGTTTCTGGACACTGGGCTGTGGTAGAAGACTGAACAATCCATCATCAAAAACAAGATCATGTGGCTAGTTAAAATGACAGTTCACCTGTAATGGTACATTTTGTTATTTACCTGAATTTAGCTGCTAACTTGTTATTCAGATATTCAGAAGAATTTTTAAAACCCTCTACACCCTCACACGCACTATTAGTCCACTTAAAGGAGTGAATGAAAATGAGTGAGTGAAATCAAACACTTGAGTGCTCCAGAAGGGTTTTGTTTGCGCCTTCCTGGTTGATTAAAATAAAATAGAAATATTGAAAGTGTTTGTAATAGTTAGTAACACAGCTGTCTATTAGCAATAAAAAGGTTGTTTTTTTTTAGTCATGTGTACAAATGGTAATTTAGCAGTTAAGAAATTAATTATTTCGAAATTTACACCAATAGGATTCTGCTGCGGGTGCCTTCTTGTATTCAGACCCAATAATTTATTCAGTTTGCAAAATTTCACAATGAATTATAAGCTTTCCCTTGCCGTTGAGTGTTCCTTGATTGTACTCTTGTTTTGGTGCATTGTGGAGTGGTTTTAGTGCACTTTAGAATGTCCACTATGGTTTTGCACAGCACTCCAAATGGCTGACTCGTTACATATTGTGCTACTTAAGGGCGATTACAGATACCAGTTAGAATGATTTTCATAGTAATTTGTTTTTCTTCTATGGATGTTAAAGGCAACCTACTGCCAACATTTTTCAAGATATCTTATTTTGTGTTCAATAGAAAAAAAATAAACATATTAAGGCTTAAAACCAGTGAGTAAATGGTGAGCAAATTTTCTTTTTTTGGTTGAACTATGCCTTGAAAGAGAGGACTAGCGTGGCTTAATATAACATAAGTGATGTCTTTTACTGAAATATGTAGTAGAAAACCAGTGGTGGATTCACATTATTTAAAAAATTCACATTTAATTTGTATTATAAGGAGCACCATTTTTATGTGCACAGTGTGTGATATCAAATAAATGCACACGGTGAGCTACAATGGTTGTAGCTATTTTTTTCTTTACCACAACACAACTTGGAAGTTTGATCACAAAATGCTGATATATGTCACTTTTTATTTGTAAATGTTTTGTGATTTGTAATCATCATAATTTTATTTAAAGGATTACTAATTGATTATTTATTTTGTACAAGAGCAGTAAATGCTGCTGGTTATCAGGTGAAGTGAACAAACACCATACAATAAACATTCTGATGCTTGGCAAATAAGCTTAAACTTTCTCTTATGGTGACTTTTGGCATGCTTACAACCTTTCATTCCTCAGTGTAAATTTCACTTGATACCTGAGGGCGTTTAGACTTTTTGTGGAGAATCACTGATGGTAAGATGTTTGGTTTAAGTGACCACATCTATGTCCACCTGTGCCCAGCTGTTCGCTCTGTTCAGTCATTCAGTAGCTGTGTTCTACTAAAGGCCTAAACGTAATAATCAATCAGGCATCTTCTCATTCTTTTCTCTTCTTCTCATCACAAGGAAAGCACATTTACCACTGCATTGTATCAGTGTTTTGTATTCCTAGTTGTGTTGCGTTAATAGCAGTAATGGGTGAAGTGCCAATGATGGTGAAACCGTATGATGCCATCAAAAATAACAGAGGTCTACATAGTCCAAAATATGTAGGAAATTATGTGGATTTTTAATTATTTGTTTATTTTATACATTTTTTTTTTATTGACATTTACATTATATTGGATTATGTGCATCTTAATATCCAGGGTTCTCTTCAAGACTAAATGTATACTTAAAGAACAAAATAAGAAAAAAGCAGAGAGTTACCACAGCGTTGTGAAAGCTGTCTGACGGGCTAATTTAGCTTGTGAACTTTGTTTTTACAGTGCTGGTGAATGTCATGAGTGAGAAAGCATGCTAAACTGGCTAGAACAGAACAAGATGGGTATTTTCATTTTACATGTCTGCAGTCCAAACATAGACAGTTAAAGTGGTTAAAATATTGCATACTTGAAATGTCGAGCTAGTGTATGCAAACACTATTATTCAATTTTCGTGGCTGTTAAGCTGGTACTTCAGTCTTCAATGTTACAGGATGCTCCAGAGTCATTCTAATATGCTTTGATGCATCTAGTTCATTTCATAATATTACCATAAAGATGAGCAATTTATTGCACTCATCAATTTATTTAATTAGAGATTAATAAATGAACAAAAATGGGGATCAGAGTCCCTGATCAAGTACAATGTTAAGTTACTTACGTTTTAAAAACAATACTGACACTGTTTTGCTTCATTGCGCCAATGAAAATGGTTCAAAGCAAAGCCACTGGAGTTGCTCTTGTAAATTACTAACTCTATGACTGATTCAAGTATTGAGACGTCATGGCTGTCATCCAGTGGAACTTGTTGCCTATTTTATTATTATTGCCTTTTGGCCAACATTGTGAATTTGTGTATTCAAAATAATATTTAAAATATTAATGGGCCATAAAGTGCATTCAATTTGTTAAATAGTTCTCTGATATAAATACAGTATGTATAGAGCTTAGGTGAGTTCAGAAAGTATCCAGAAATGGCTTTATATACTCTTTTATGTCCACAGGAATCACACCTAAAATGAAAAGCTCAGCTTTTACCATATTTGGAACCATCATGAATATTAATGAGTTCTGCTCTAATGCTCTATAAATTTTGACAGTAGCTGTGTTTCCATCC